GATCATTCTCTTTGAAAATTACCTTTCCTTTCTCAATATCAATAATCAGTCTGTTAGTGGCTAGGAAGGGTTTTCCAAGAATTACATGAATATTCTTATCAGCCTTAAATGCAAAATTATGAAATTAGCCAGGAAAATATATGTCTCCACAATAACAGGCAGGCTTTCAACTACGCCTAAGGGATGAGGCAGAAATTGGTCAGCCAATTGAAGTGTTAAATTGGCAGGTTTAATTTCTTCTCTTTCAAGTTGATTGAAAATGTTTAGAGTTACAAGATTAACACTGGCTTCTAGATCAAAAATTGCCTTCTTGCTAAACTCAATTCCCATGGCAAACGGGATGGTAAGACTATCAGGGTCTTTGTTGGGCTTTTGTAGCCTTTTAGGGAATGGAGGTGGAAGTCTTTCAATCGGGCTAATTGGAATGGCAGAGGAAACTTTACTTAATAAAGGTCTCACAGGTGTCCTAGCCTTTGGTTGGTTGACTTCCTTTTCTACTCCAGTTCTAATTCCCACCACCTTGCACTGCTCCAAATTTTAATCTTTTGGATTTACTTCAGCAATGTAAGTGGTGCTCCTGGGGGTTTGTTGTTAATTGTGTTTGTCAGCTATCTTAATTGAGTTTCTAAATTTTTTATAGATACAGTCTAACCCTATATTTGGTTTCCCATTTAAATGACTAACTCCAAGATTGGTGATTTCTTTTAGCTTTGGGAATTAACCTGGAATGCTAGTGGATGGTGTTGTTTCTGTGATTGATTTCCTGGGTTTTACCAACTACCTATATAGTTGTTTTGATTGTTCCCCCATTGTTGTTTGTTGTTATTCCAAGAAAATTTTGGATAATTCCTCTAACCTAGGTTGTAGGTGTTGGGATATGGGTTATGGTCATGATATTTTATGACATTCATAGATTCTAAGGCTGAGATGCAAGGATCTAATATTGGTCCTTGAATTAATCCATCATTGGGCAACATCCTTGCATTAACCTATTTGTTTCTTAAAGTTTAATTTTCTTTCCTCAGTTGATTTTATTTGTTTGATTCTTTCCCCTATGGTTGACCTCTAGTGTTTAGTTCAATATTTTGTGTTTGAGTTTTATATATATTTGAGAGAATTTAAATCAGACATTTTCTATTTACACTTTTCATATTTAAGGTTCATCTAAATGCTTGGGAAACATATTTTATTTTGCATGTGAAAGAAGATTTTATAAATGCTTTTATCAAGCAAAGACTGTTAGCATATGAACTTACTCACATATGAAATGTGCATATTTGAATTGACACAAAACTTACATGCTGAGAGGCTAAGCTTTTGATCGAATTACATGCTTTTGAGAAAGAACAGCTTCACTCTGAGAAAATAACATCCATGAGTATATAAACATTGCCTAGATTAAGCTATTAGAAAGGCTATACTAAACTTATGTAAGTTCTAATATTTCAATTGATAAGCTCACAAGACAGATTAAAATAAATTCAAAAAAAGTATTTGAAATTAGTTTGATTTATAGTATACTTTGTTTTTAAAATTTTAATGAAATTTTTAAGTTTATTTCTTAATAAGCTTGAGTTTTAAGAGGTTTTGAATTATTTGGAAACGTTATTGTTTCGATTTTTGAAAGAGGTTTGGTTTAGGTTATTTTAAATTTGTTAAGTGTTTAAGTTCTAATTTTTAGCAATCATGATCTCCTTCTTAGTTGATCCTCCACCTATTTATAGCGGTTGATTATGTATTTCTTTATGCTGACATTGATCCCTTAATTAATTAATTTATTTATATGTTCCATCCCACATACTCTAATTTTTTTATCAAAAATTTAACTTGACATTCTTAGAAAATATGAGTTTAAGGACTTTACATGGCTATAGTGATTTGTACTGCAATTATGATTTGCAATGTTTAGAGTATAATTTGAGATGAGATGTTGGCTATGGTTAAATATTCTACAAGTGTCTTATGAATGGAACACTTAACAATTGTAATTTTTTTAGATGGGTTGATGAAAGTGAGGAATCCAATCATATGGTGATCAAGTTTAGAGAGAAGCTTCAAAAATTCACAAGAAAACTTATTCTTTTGAACATGAAAGGTAATGTTATAATAATATTATGGGCTATTAATAATATTATGGGCTATTAATTAATGGAAAAATTTAAGGGTATAATAATATTTTTTCTGAAAATTAACTACAACATAATCAATCATCCAAACAATACATTGGTTCAGTACCATCAACTTTTTAATAATAGCTGATCAGGTGGTTATTCAAAAAGCAACTGATCAACTGCCTATTCAATACGTTGTAGCTGTCTCAAATAGACACAAATTTTATATTCCTTCATAGGTCAACATCTTTATTACAACAATGTAAGTGTTATAACTAATTGTTGTATATTTTAATAAAAATATTGAAAACTTATAAATCTATCAGTATTATAATTAATATATTTTGTAAGGAAACAACACTTTTGTTATTATTTCAAAGATGCTTCTACTAGTACCATAGATGAAAGACATTGATGAGAGACACTCTAAATGATGCTAGAGGGAGGACTTTTATGTGGTATCTTCAACTAAACCTCTATATGATTTAGAAAGAGCTGAAAAAAGGTAATGCATTTTTGGCTTTAAAACAGAACAAAACAAAAATGGAACTGCACTACCATTGAGTAGTTTTTATCTAAAGCATTAGATGAATGACATCATGTGTTCTTATATTCTATTTAGTGAACAAGTGCAAAAAGAAGATTTCAAAAACCGTAGTCCAATAGTCTAACCAACGTAGTCTTGGGGGAGGGCGGCATTTACATACATCACACAAATTCTTTATATTTATATAACTCACATTAATTTTGCATTTTTACCCACACAGAACTCAACCTTATATATGAAATAAAAAGTAACACTATTATCACTTTTAAAAAGTAAACCAGACATTTCCATGCATAAGTGTAAAACACAGAACCGCTATATAAATATATAGGTAAACATGAAAGTTTAGGTGTGATATATCTTAATACATAAGAATTATGTGTAATATATAAAAATTTTCCGAAAAAATTATTAATTCTTTCATGGGACCAAGTCCGTTTGCCACATGTTGACATCACTTGGTATTATAGAACCCAAATTATATATTATTTTAAAATAAATGTCTTCTTTTAATGCCCATTATGCAATATAATACATAGAATTAAAATGAGCTAAACCAAAAAACAATTGTTTTACAAATGACTCAAAGAAAGAGAATGATAGAAAAGTACATCAAATCTCATTCCAGTGCTACCGGCACAGTTGTAGAATTCTTATTTTCATTACTAGCGTTCATGAAGAAAGCAAATAATAACATGTGTCTCCAAATTTATATATGAAAAATATGAGGCAATTATAACTATGATATATATATATATATATATATATATATATATGGAGGGTGCTTCAAAATAATAGTTCATTTCTTGTGCATACATGTGAGCTGAACAGGGATTGATCAAGTACAACATATATGACTTAAAATGCTGTTCTGTCCCATAGAAATATTAAGGGAACCAAAATCATGAAACTTATGACACGACAAGACGTTGAAGAGGTGGTATACTGAAAGAATTAGACGAACAGCTTTTTGTAAAATATGCCTGGATTTATATAAATGAAGTAATGATATAACGATTAGGAGCATGAGTTTTGCTTCATTTTACTTTTGATTACCTTCTACTGAAAACATTTACAAAAGCAGTTGCGAAGGAACTATTCCACTAAGTTAAAATTTGTTATAATGTGGCTTCATGTATTCTGCATCTGAATAGTTGATATGCAGACCTTTGCACAGTCTTCGATCAAATAAAATTTATGTTTGAACTTTATGCTTTTGTTTTGAGATACAACTTGGTTGCTTTATTGTCATTAAAAGACCATTAATAATATATAATATGAATCAAAGTTGCAATTAATCAAAACATCGTTTTAAAATTTTGGAAGTCAGCTGTTTCAAATTTAAAGCACCAACAAGCAACTCCTCAGCAAAATTTTCATAAATTTTCGTTCATCTTTGCATATATTTCTTGTAGCACTGGAGGCCCAGCGAAAACTCAATTCATTCGAGGCACATCTCTTATGTTTTAGTATGATAATCATATTGTTCAAATCATATAGACATTCAAGTCTCATGTTCAACAGCTAATTTCTCACACATATATATTATGGTGGCCCTCAATTATGTGAACTAAGACAAAGTTGTGTATATAAAAAAGTTTAAATAACTAACGGGTACAACGGTCATTTTGCTATTTAAAGGTGTTTAACGGGTCATCTTGTATGGGTCATTGGTCTATATATATGTAATGAATGATAGATATGAGTTGAAAGGGTTAAGGGAGAGAAATTCTGAGAAAGAAAGGTGATGAGCTAAGAAAGTTTATATCAAGATAAAGATCGATAGAAAGCTTGGAGCTAAGAAAGCTTGTATATCGATAGAGAACTTGAAGAGATTGATTCGTCCTTGATTTTGTGCAGAGTAATCTTCAAAATTATTTTTGTAAATTGTTTCTTGATTCTCTCCCATGGACGTAGGTCCTATGGACCAAACCACGTAAGTTCTCGGTGTTCTTACTTACTTTTCTTCTTTGTTGCTTTCCCTTGTCCTACAGTTCTCTTAGTAGCAGATTTCACAATAATATACATGTGAAATTCTTTGAAAAAATTAAATAATTATTTCTAAATCTACTCTTTTGTATTTATAAAACCAAACATGGAGAGTAGATCCAAAAATTATTGTTTACCTTGCTTACAATTAATGTATTGGTACTGTTAAAGAGCAGAGAAACAGACAAGAGTTGGGCCTTTTTCTTCCTCGTTCACTCTCTCCACGTACGCTCTCACATCTTGTTGCAGAAACAGATCCACTCTTCTTCATCAATTATTTCCCACTTCTCCCATTTTCATCTGTTCTTCGCTCTCTTTCCTCTCTCTCTCTCTCCTTTTTTCCTGCGTCCTTTTTTCCTGCGTCATTTCTCCCACCATCAAATTTAAGTCACCAAATAACAAATCCGAGGATAAAAGTTAAACATCAAATCGAATCATATATCACATCAAATAGAAGTCCAACAATAAAGAAACAAGGAAGCAAATACACCAGGAGCAAGATGTCTTCCACTCCATCTCCCTTTTCTCTTGAACAAATCTCCCCTCCTCCAACTGAAAAGCTGTGCTACGTGCACTGCAACTTTTGTGATACAGTCCTCGCAGTATATATATTCTTCTCCTTCGTTTATACAATCTTCATCATCTTTTTTTCATTCAAAACTTTCTCTTTTATGTTGCAGGTGAGCGTTCCTTACTCGAGCTTGTTCAAAACTGTGGCGGTAAGGTGCGGTCATTGCAGCAACCTTCTTTCTGTTAGCATGAGAGGACTTTTACTCCCAGCAACCAGCCAGCTTCATCTCGGCCATCCTTTCCAGTCCCCTGTTCAGCATAATCTTCTGGTGCATGTTTCATAAACTTATTATTCACTTCAACTTGCCTTAAATTTGTTAAATTACGAAAAAAAACTGAATCTTTGATGTTTTTTATTTATTTTTTTATTTTTTTACTAAGGAGGATGTACAGAGTTACCAGTCACAGAACTTGATGGATAATCTGCCCTTCCTGAGCAATAATTTGATGCCCCCGTTGGCCAAAGTAACTGAAGAAGAGCTTCCTCAGAATTCAGTTACCAATAGACGCAAGTTTTTATCTAGTTGTACTACTAGTTTTTTTTTTTTTTTTTCGATTTTCATTTTGTTATCTTTTCTTCCGTAGCTGTTGTTCTGCTTTAAGTTTCTGTTGAGGAACAGTAGCCCATCTGTTTTTCTTTCTCAGAGTTTTTCCATGTAACACACCTCATGTCACCTTCCTCTGTAGTCAGAAAACGATATTAAACCAGAACTTTCTTTTTCTTCCAAATCCAGCAAGCTTACTTCAGCCGAATTGCGCGGGAGAGAATACTGTGTTTTAAATGTTGCTTTTTTCATGCTGCAGCTCCAGAAAAGAGGCAGAGAGTTCCTTCTGCGTACAACCGCTTTATCAAGTGAGTTCTCGTTACACATAGATGCCAAATGTTAAAAAGAGTAAGAGAAAGATGTGTATATTGAAAGCCTTTTGACTCTCATTTGTTTTATCAGCTACACATGAAAAAATGGTTTTTAACTAAACATAATGAAACGAAAAACTAACATCTTGCTTGCAGGGATGAAATTCAACGAATCAAAGCTGGCAACCCAGACATCACCCACAGAGAAGCATTCAGCGCTGCTGCTAAGAATGTGAGCTATACTGCGCTTCTGTAATCACCTCCAAATTTCTCTATCACCATAAAACAAAAAAAAATATTGAAAATATTCTGAATTAAATATAGTTTAAAATACAACAGACACCTTAATACTATTTCAGCAAAGTATCAGTCTTGCTCTTCAACTCCATCATACAATGTTAAAATAAATCATAAGAATATATTTTTTAGATTTATAGTTCGTTGTTTCAGAATATTATAGACGTTTTATGACTATGCTGATGCTGTTTCCTGCAGTGGGCCCATTTTCCCCACATCCACCTCGGTCTCATGCCGGATCAAGCCATAAAGAAGGCCACCGTGCACCCTCCGGTAATGTTGGGGAATCAATTTTTCTTGTTTTCATTCAAAGACATTACCTCGGTCTCTTTCAATAAATCCTTTTAAGGATTTTGATGTGATGTTTAGTTAGCCTATACTGATCTCTTTTCTCTTATTCTTCCAGGAGGGAGAAGATGTTCTTCTCAAGGACGGATTTTTTGCAGCTGTAGCTGCAAACATGGAAGTTGCTCCCTTCTAGGCTATGACAACTGCCTATTTGAGAGCCTTTGGCATCTATCAGTTTGCTGTTACAGTTTATTAGGGTTTATTATCTCTACTATATAACACAAGAGAAGCTCTAGAATGTGGTTCTATGGTGGCTAGAGTTCCTGCTTTGCTGTAGTTTTTATCTTCTAGTCCTTTGAGTTTCCTCTTAATGTTTTATTTAGTAAATGAAGGACTTATCTTCTGTAAAAAGAATGTCTTGTCTATATCAACAGCCTTGGTATGTTCTTAGCATTGTTTTATGCTTGGAAAAACTGTTTTTTTCTTCTAGTACGTTGAATAGGTATTGTAGATGCATTAAAGATAAATTTGATGCTATGCAGTCGGATAAAATATTGAAAATTCAGTAAAAAAAAAATAGAAATATGAAGCAAAGAGTGGCATGAAAATCTCATTGGAATATCACATGATTCAAGTTCAAACATGGTAAATACAGTGAGAAAATCATGCGATGTTCTTTTTTAATATAAGATAAAATGTAAGTTTGGATTATTACACTGCATTAATCTTGTTTATGGATTAGTTTTTTACGGATTTGATAAAAGCTCTTATGTTAACATGACCTGCTCTCTTGCCGCAGTTTTGCATCAAGTTGGATAACCTTAACCTATTATTATTGTTTCTATATATATATATAGATGAATATATATATCTCAATGTTCAACAAATTATAAGAAGGAATAGTAGAAATATGAGTTCCGCAATATCTAATGTTTATACTGCTTACATATGGTAAGGTGATAATGCAATAGTTAAAATTAAAAAAGGTTGTAAAGTGTGATCAAATTTAAGTGACAAATATACAACAACAACAACAACAACAACAAAGCATTCATCCCACTATGTGGGGTCGGCTACATGAATCATTTTTCTCCGTTGCGTCCTATTTATCCGTTGCGTCCTATTTAGTGTCATATTTTCATTTAGTTCTAGTAAATTAAGGTCATTTTTAAAACAATAAGCCCAAGTACAATTTTTTTTTCGACAAGTTTTACGCTGGCTGTCAACTACCTAACGCAACCCTCCACTTTTCACATCCGGGTTTGGGACCGGCAATATATTTAAGTGACAAATAAATTAGATATGATTAAATAACAGACAAATTCAAAATGAGCATTTCAGCAATTAAAATTGACCCTTATCTTGAAAAGTTGTATCAATTAGTGTAAAACTTTAATGATTCTCCATGTAATAATGGATAACTATAAATGAGTATATTTATTCCATAGTCATATCATAAAATCTTAAGATTAATTTTTACTAATGTTGATCTACTTGTCCAAATGAGATAAAGAGACTTCCCTCTCAATAGCTTCAATATCATCAAGCTAAGGGCTTAAAGTGAGAGTAGATTAGCCTCAACCATTTCAAAGGCACGAACATTAAAAGCGGATAAATATTACATTTGTCCACTTTCTAGATAATGGTAAGTATATATTTATGATCAATAACAATATAAGGTTCATATAGTTTGGAATAAATAATTTATTTTTCACTGTAAGAAAATTTTACCTCTAATAAATAAAAATGATTACTTTATAAATAATAGAGTGCGACCTATTTAAACTTGAGATCTATTATTTTTATATAGTTAAAGAAATGATATGTAGTGCAGGAGTACATCATAAAATTATTATTCTCTAAATGAATTGATTTAATCCAAATCACAAAAAAAGTTTCAAAATAAGAATTAAGATAAGGTTCCAAAGCTATATTTTTAATTAAAACACCCCTATCCAATTGCGCATAATATTTCTTCAAGTAACATCAATTACTGAGAAGCATTAGACATTCACCATTACAATCTACTAATTGATAAGAACTTATATCATATACTTTAACTAATATAAACGAGCACTCCAACATTTATTCATTCTTACTACATATCTTTTGATGGTCTAGTATCAGCCATGTGAAGATTAAAACTAATGTCTTGACACAAAAAGTTCTAGATTGAACTAATTTATCGTGAGCATGAGCCATTCATTCTTGGTAAGGTTCAACATTTTGCTAAGTCAATAGACGTATTACTTCTAGTCCTTCAAGCTCCTCTAATCGCAATTGAATTTTCTGTTATGGAGGATTATATATATATATATTATATATATATATAAGTGGCAATTCTTAGTGTGAGGATTTGAACTTTCAAAGGAACACAGAATTGAGTTAGGGTTCAATATATAGTTTGGTAAGCCCATAAAGCCTCCACCAAAGAGCTCATGCCACTGATATTTATTATCTTTAAGTTTCCTCTTTAGCATTTGATCTAAGATCTTATTGAAGGATTCAGGTAGTTTATTTTTTTCAAGGGCAGTATATTGTTGAATGCTCTAATCAATGTTGAGTCTCTTTATAAATTTTTTAATTTTGGTGCTTTTGAATGAAGGTTTGTTATTTAATATGACTCATCATGAGATACTGAATCCATTTACGATGTGATTTTTAAATTACAATGCATGGTAAGCTTTTACTTCTCTTAGAGGAATGTCCTCTGCCCACTTTAAGAGGTAGCCAGTCGATGCCACTATGAACCTCTACACCTTGGATGAAGGAGGGGGACTCATGGTGTTTGTGCCCTAACATTCAAAGGGCTACGAAGCAGTCGTTGGGTGTAATACATTAGGCGAAAGATGTAGAACTACACTAAGTATTTGATATTGATGATATAGTGATGCAGTCTCCATGCAATCATTGATCATTGTTGGCTAATAATACCTCATGATTTTTAATTTTAATTTAATCTCAGGGCCAGATTGGTGAGTACCACAAAATTCATAATCTATCTCGTTGATGATTCTTTGGGATTCGTCCTAATCTAAGCAAAATATTCACATATAATCAAAAGACTTTCTATAGAGTATGTCATTTATAAGGATAAAAGATAATTCTTTAGACTTCTCTTAATGAGCTAATGATTTATCTTGAGGCAAATTGCCTTCCCCTTGATAATCCGCAAAGGGTTGTCTCCAATTAGTCGATTTCTCGACTGTAGTGATGGAAACCTGCCCTTTGATATCATGTCCATGAATGTACTCCATATTGATTAGTGAGAGGATCTGACAACCCTTGACTTTAATTGGTATAGACACCACCTTCAAGAAAGTTATCTCGTTAGCCAACCTTAACTAAGTGTCTGCGAAGGTATTGCTGACATGGGGTAATTTACATGCTTGAAATATATTACTTTTATTTGCGCATTTAATGCTTATGTTTAATGATTTTATGCTTTAATGAAAGGTTTTTTTTATTTTTTATTTTTGGTACAATAAATGGAGCAAGTGGACAAAATGGGACGAAAATAGAGCAATTTGGAGTCAAAGGAAGCAAAAAGGCTAAATTTGACCTAGCGCCTAGGAGTCAGACGACAGAGAGACTGGCGCCAGCAATGATTTTCAGGAAGGTTCAATGTGGACTACTTTTGAAGGGGTGCTTGAAGTGACTCTTGGTGATTTTGAGAACTCTATTTAAAGAGACTTCTAGAGAGTCCAATGAGAGTCTTTTTAGAGAGGGGAGAGTCTTGGAGAGGTGAGAGTCATTGAAGGATTTGCTTAGTGGCTTGCTTAAATTTAGAGGAGAAGAGAAGAAGTAAGAGATGTCTTCTTCACTACAATTCTAAGTGAGATTGAAGTGGAAATGTAAGGAGAGTGAGTAATTCAAAAGAACTAGAAGGATTGCTTTGAAAAGATTTTGAAATAAGTTGTGTATTTTATTTATTTTACTTAATCTTATTTTGTAAACTTATAAACTTATCTTATTTATCTATAAATCCATGTGTTGTTGTGTCTTCCCCATGAGATCTGAGTAGTTTTCTTTGTCTTTCTCTTTGCAACGAGTAATAATTATGTGTAGGAATAAAGTTTAGTAGAAGTTCTTTTAATTCCATAAATTATGATGATTTAAACTATACGCTTAATTTACTTATCAATATGGTCAATTAATTAGTTAAAATCTATTGTGAAATATACTGACCCAAAAAGGTTATTTTTTTCTCAATATAGTAAGAATCACATTTAGTCTCATGGATGAGAATGTAGTCCATAGGGTTAAGTGCAAATAAATACGGAAATAAGTTTTGATGAGCATAAGTTGGAGATTTTAGAGTGACAGACTAAAATTTTCAATTTGATCCAGACGTTTGGAACCTAAAGTGAGATGTTAGCCTTTAAGTGAAGGGTACGTGGGAACTCTAAAGTGACAGCTGGTATCTTCCCAGCCTAACCACGGGCTAAGAGACTTAACTTTGTATTAGTCAATGTTCTTTATGCACTCAGATAGGGTAAAGAATAGGTATGTTTCACAATACATTAAATATAATTAAAATTATTAGATTCCTACACTGATTATAAACACATTGCAAGGGGAAGGATGTTTTATATAATTTGAGCTCTTCTATACATCTTTAGTTTAGAATTTCTTAGTGGTAACTTTACATTTTAGCTTTTTTAGATTGCCTTGCATTTATATTCTGCATTTTCTTAGCATACTTAACATTCCTTTTAAATTATGTAGGATTAGTTAATACATAAAAAGTTTTCATCATTTCTCAAATAAGTTAACTACAGTTTAAAGAGGATTTTACTTAAGTCAAACTGTAAGAGTTTTGTCTCTCCCTGTGGGATCGGTACTTAGAACTCCATTAGAGCCTCATATTACATGAAACAATACATATACTTGTGTAGTGCTCCTAGTATGTGAACTATTTTATTAACTTTATATAATATTTAATCTTGCACATTAGTCGCTTATAAAATTTTTTTATAAGTCTAAGAAATATTTTCTATCACACAATAGTTCGGATGCATTCCTCTACTTCAACCAACCGACATGAAATCTACTAATCACATCCCTATCTATATCACCTAAACTTTGAATGAGAGACCCGAGATATCTAAAATGTTCACACCTTTTAATGTTCACACCTTTTATGATTTGATCATCTATAGTTATAACTCTACCGTTAAAACTACTACTACTGAAATTACATTTCATGTATTCGATTCTAGAACTACTCAAACAAAGGCCTTTAGACTCAAATGTCAACCTCCATAATTCAAGTTCTTAGATGATCACATATAGGAAACTCAAAACATTGTTATTTACAAATCAAACACCCTCTTTCATCCATTTTTCAAATTCTCGCTCAAATATCAAAGGTCATGATAAAAATTCAACCCATATTTTTTATTTTTTATGAAATTCACAATGGT